TGTGTGTGTGTGTGTGTGTGTGTGTGTGTGTGTGTGTGTGTGTGTGTGTGTTTTCCTGGTACCCTCTGTATCCTGGTTAACTGAGAAAGCTAGCCAGGGCAGTGGGAATGGCTATAGAGAGTTCTCAGGCCACTTTACATGGTGGAAATTTCCTTCCTCAAACTAATGTCTATTTGTGTGCACATATGATGTGATTTCCTGTGAGCCCAGAATCTGCTAACTCACCATTTCTAGGGCTTCATATGGACACATTTCTTGTGTTCAGCAATGAAACTGTCAGTGACCTGTGCAGTCTTGTTCTAGGAGCTGTCTAGTTTTTGAGGGTGGAAAGTAAGGTTTTATTTAACCAGATGCTTGGCTTGCTAGCTTTTTAGCATGAGCTGTTCTCATCTGGCAGACACTGCTTCCCAGAGAACTGACAGAAATTAGAAATGTATACCGATAGGATCCATGGCCCTCCTTTCTAAGAAATGCAGACTTGACAGCGCTCATAGTGTCCTGATTCCACAAGTGACTTACACAATAGGAAATGCAGGGGTTTGTTAAACAATCTGTCTGTGGAAGTGGAAGTTCCCCGTGTCAGGCTTTTTCTTGCACATGCATACTCAGTGGCCTCCCTGATCACACTCCAGGCCTGGGTATGGGCACAAAAGACTTAAGAGTCTGTCTGGATCTTTCTCAGAGTGCCTAGAGTCTGATGGCACAAACCCAGTTCTCTGCAGTGGCTTCCTGGGGGGCTAGGTTGGCCAAGCAAGCAGGGATGTCCTAGGGAGTCATCACACATGTTTGAGCACTAGCTTTGGGAGAGTTTGAATGACCTTCTGTTTCAGGGAAATATTGTTCTTCACAACTCTCCTACCTTTGCGGGGGTGGGGTGGGGTGTGTGTGTGTGTGTTTACTCTCTGCTTAAGCCTTGCCTTAAAAGAAATCACCCCATTTGAGGGAACTCCGCATCTCACAGCAGGGTCAGGGCTGCATGAGGAAGTTGATCAAGTCATAGAGTAAGCTTTCTAAAATTACAGTCAGCATCTGCAGACATTTAGGTGCTTTCCTTAAAGAGTTGTAGAGATGCGGAGGTGGATCAGTCAGTGAGAACACTTGCTGCACAAGCGTGAGGACCTGAGTTTGAATCCCCAGCACCCATGTAAAAAGCTGGGCATGGCTACATGCACCTAATCCCAGAGCTATTGAAACAGACACAGGAGGATTTGGTTGGCTTGCTGGCTTCTGGCCTATTCGCAAGTTAAGAGAGTATACTGGCTGGATTTATGTCAACTTGACACAGGCTGGAGTCATCAGAGAGGAGGGAGCCTCAATGGAGAAAATGTCTTCATAAGATTGGGCTGTCAGCAAACTTGTAGAACTTTTTTTTTAATTAGTGATTGCTGTTGGAGGGTCCTTCTTATTGTGGGTGGTGCCATCCCTGGGCTGGAGCTCCTGGGTTCTATAAGAAAGCAAGCCAGTAAGTAGCACTCCTCCAAGGCTTCCGCATCAGCTCCTGCCTCCAGGTCCCTGCCCTGCTTAAGTTCCTGTCCTGACTTCCTTCCATGATGAACAATGATGGAGAAGCATAAACTGAAAAAACCCTTTCCTCCCCAAGTTTCTTTGGTCATGGTGTTTCATCACAGCTACAGAAACTCT